GAAGGGGATTTGATGGAGGAGAGGACGCATAGGACCAGGAAATATTCTATGGGCAGCGTTCGCTTCGGTATTACAGGGAATCCAGGTGGCCGCTTGCTCGTTAGCGACATAATAACATAAAAAAAGGAAACCGTTAAATCCACTTGTTACCATTAAGTGACTTGTTTACTTTGATATTCTTAATATAAAGCGACATTTGTTTGAAACTGATGATTATTTTTAAAGTAAGAATTGCTTCTTATGTCCATTTTGAGAATAAAATTGACCTTGGTTGACTTTTATCAATTTTTTTGAGGTTATAAAAAGTTATAAATATGAATGTAGTTGGTATAAATAAAATTGAACAAAATGTTTCATATCAAATAAATGCGACGCCTTTTCGATTTCACACAAATATATTTAGAATATTCTTATCGTACATAAGAGAAGCCGATACTGTATAGGGTTGGTAAAAGTGACATAGTGAATTCAAATTTTTTTAATTTACTACATCTTTTTTAATTACGGTTTACTGTCGACTAACTATAAAAAAAATATTAATGTAAAAAACTTACTATGTAAAATTATGTACATGTCAAAATTTAATTGCTCCAATTAGAAGTAATTTCCAACTACTAATGAGAGAATATTACAATAGAAATAATGTTTTTTTTTATATATTCCTGTTTCTTAGTCTTATCTCCATCATAAAAATAATTAATTGACAAAAAATATATCTCGCACGTTTTGTCAACCCTGGACCATACGATCGCGTGGGAAAATTGGTTTCTTAACAACACCTCGACAAGTATTGCGAAGATATTTAAAAGTCTTTTTATAACAACTTAAATTCGACAACATTTTCATAGAATAAAGATATCTTCAATTTATATTTTGTTGAAGACAAAAAGTCAGGTCTCAGATCTTTAAGAATTTAAAGTTGAAGCAACAAAATTATTTTTTTACTATAAAAAGCATGGAGGTATGAATTAAGATCTGTCGCCTACATATTTTACCATTTAGCAATTAATCAAAAAATGTAATATCCCAAAAGTTATTTTTATCTTATCTTTATATATATAATTCTTCCGTGAGTGTGTATGTCACTGAATTTCTCTCAAACGACTGGACCGATTTTGATGAAATTTTTTGTATGTGTTGAAGGGGATCTGGGAATGGTTTAGATTCACAATTTTGTCCGCTGGACAATGTTTTTTTAATTAACTTTTAATTTATTAGTAGTTGTTAATTTTTGAATGTTTTACATTGGATCCGACAGACGGCGCTACAATCGCAGTGTCAAATTGTCAGACGTCTGTCGGGTCCTCCAGTTTACTATAAAAATCATGAAGGATCTGTCGCCTACATACTTTACCATTTAACAATTAATAAAAAAATGTAATATCATAATTTTTATCTTATATATAAAATTCTCGTGTCACAATTTTCGTTCCCATACTCCGAAACGGCTTGACCGATTCTCATGAAATTTTGTGAGCATATTGAGTAGGTCTGGGAATCGGCCAACATCTATTTTTAATCCCGCGCGGACGGAGTCGCGGGCGACTGCTAGTAATATATAAAATGCCGCTAATACTAAGCATTTTCTGAATGTCATTTCTGAATATATAAATTATTGTAATTTCATTACCTGTGTTTTATTTTATAAAAAAACTCCGTTGCACTAAACGTGATAATGTCTACGTTTGATACAATCAAGACGATAGTGTTGCCAGAGTGGAGTTGCACGCTATGTTAATTGTGATTGCCGCTACAAAAATACATTCACACAAAAACTTGGCTTTAAATTTTTTTTTTTGCGCAGAAACGAAACATTTTATTTGCTTATATTCGCTAGGAGCAGTCGCGTGTCTAGCCACGACAAAACAAAAATGTAATGAACAAGTCCCGAGCTTAATTTTAATTAAAAGATAGGGATGTCGGCTGAGTAATTATTAACGTCGACTGTCGACAATCCACGCCGGCACAGCCCTGCGCTGTTTGTGCTTACTTCTTGAAAAATATGATGCTTACAATTTTATTGCATAACATTATATTAAAGTAGATAAAGCTGACATAAAATGTGGTAATAAATTTACAAAGCAAAGTAATCATTGTTTTAGTTAAATTGTTTACAAAGCCTACTATTTATTAATAACTAGCTGTCGCTCGCGACTCCGTCCGCGCGGAATTAATAAGAGACTTAATAAGTAGCCTATGTGTTCTTCCATACTATTAACCATACTTTCCATACTGTTGCCAAATTTCAGCGAGATCCATTAAGCCGTTCCGTAGATCCGGAGACCTTCAAAAAACATCCATCCATCCATCTAAACATTCGTATTTATAATATTAGTAAATTTTATTTTTTTTAGATTATACAACTCTTGCTATTTGGTAAATATAAGCCATGTGTGTGTGCCATTAATATATTTCACAGAACGGAAAAATATACGGGGATACTAGCATCTGGAATATCCTTAATTAGTTTGGCATCGCTTGAGGCAGTTTCCCCCCTTTAATAGTTGTAATTTAAACCATTTTTTGCAGGATCAAGCAACTTGCATTTGTACCCGACAATTTGTTATGGCAACACATATTGTAGATTTTCTTAATAAATAATAAATTAATTAACACTGAATAATATTCGGTATGTTATTAATGTATTTAATTTCGTCCTTTAGAATATGTGCCAACGTCTTTATTCGTTTTCGACAAAATATATATTGAATATATTCATATCGTAAATAGGAGAGACCGATAAAGTATAGGGTTGTCAAACTTTGCATTTTATAATTTTCATTTTATCTGGTTTTATTGCTATAAAGAAGAAACAAAAGCTCGTCAGCCATTACATGCGACCGAAGTATGAACTATAAGTCATATAAGAAAAATAAGTTGTTTTATACTGTCGAGACAACCCTATAAAAGATGCGATCTTTTCGAGAAAATTGGTTTCTCAACAGTATCTCACGGAGAATTTTCTCAAATATTTTTATAACGTTTCATTGACACCTTATAAATATATATCCACGTTAAAAAGGTGTCTACACAATTTATAACCAAAAAAAAATAGCGCATTATGCCGAAACTTTTCTATAAATTATATCCAAAAATGTTCAGTTTATTGATACTTAAGACAACGCCAAAACTCTATTGAATTTAAAGACCGCCGCATCGCATCAAATAATATAATTGCAGACATCTCATTTATAAATTCACCGTCCAGTAATATCCATTTGCGTGTAGCACAGAACAGCGGCCATGTTAGCAACACCAAGACAAATTGGCGGCATGTCCGCCGCGCTCTGCCAATGCACAGATAATATACTCCACAGAGTATCTACCTATACGACTACTTGGCTATATTAATCCACTGTGAATTTGAGTGTTATATTCGTTTTAAGACTTCAAAATCGGCATTATCTTGGATTATCAAAATGTTTTTTGGTTGGGAGTTTTTTACTCATTAATTTTTAAAAATTCTAAGGCGTTAACCTATATTGATTAACATAAACAAATTACAAAACATAAATCCATAATGTTTTTGTTACGTTTAGCTGGTATTATCAGGTGTGTTGTTACCCTGTTTCAATTTAGATAAAGCTATTGTTCCGCGACAATGCAGAGCACTCAACTTGCACCACGCGTATATATTTTGCATCGGTACACTCGTCTGCAAAATATATTTTTCCTTTCCATAAATTCTAAATGTAAACGTGAATTAGAACATAACATCTGAATAAAATCATTATTATCGAAACCATAAATAAATGAAAGATTTGTAATAATTTTAGTCTAAGCAAATTAATTATTTTACATAACATAGTAAATTTGGTTTGGTACGTAACCGATTTTAAAATAATTTTCACCAAATTGTAAGAACCTTTTAGTTTTTTTTTATCTAAGCTGAAGCGTGTTATAATTTTATACAAATTCATATAACATTTAAATCCAAAACATACTATTGTGTTATTTTGCTGGCTGTACATGTTCTGCCGTAGCGAGAGCGGCATTCGTCGCGAGTTACGACTCGATTGTGCTTTGCCATTAACGCTTGGTGTAAGTCACAAACTGATAGATAAACTCATAATTTCTTTATTTCTCAGGAGAAATTATGCAATCGCTTCACAGCGAAACAAACGTACGCATTTTCCATAAGTTTTTTTCGCTCTGAAGAGACGGCCGAGCGTTTTTCGTACGATTCCGGCTTCTGTCTAAATGAACCTTAACGCCAACCATATCGTAAAAGACCGAACAAAGTAAAGAAACACCCTACGAGAGATCAATTGTCTTCACTTCGTGCAGGAACCAGGATACGACGCGAAGAGACAGAACAAAGTCTACTCCGGCGTCCCCAGAACTTCCTCCAAAAGTGTCATGAAAATTTGTTGCAAACAAAACAGTTGCTGACAAATCTACATCGTTTTTAACACAATATTAAATGTTTTATACTGAATGTGACGTCAGAATCGCAGTCTTATTAAAAAAAAATTACATATTTCCCGCTTGCAACTTGTACCATACACTAACGCACGACTTCTAACAACTTGGGAATACATATTAATAGGACAATTGCTACATTTGGAGATTATTGCTTTCGATTACTTCGACAAAGGCTAGTTCAAAACTAACACCGTCTCGTCTGTAATTATATTTGCGGTTCAATACTGTAATAACCTACAGGGTTTTGTTTCTCCCGAATATGTTATTTTGGCGTTAGACTTGCAGACATGATCGATTTTGATGCGGTTATTATTAAGGCAGGTGATTTTAACTGTTTTTCCCACGAATGTAAGTTCGTTTTTGTGTTTGTGTGTATATAAATACACATAGTCTAGAAGAAGACTAATTAATCTTTTGTAATATCGCACGGCCAATGCGACAGGCTGCAGCTAGCATTGCCAAATACACGCTGTCACTATAATTTTTTCACATAAGTTCTTTCGTTTTATTTAATCGGTTCTAACTGATCGAAAATTCGTACTTAAAACTTATTAAGAGATAATAAAACTGCACAATTAAAAATAATAAAAATATTTAATATAAAAATAAAATCATTTCCATTTTATAACAAGAAATAGTATGACAGCTTTAAAAATTGTAAATCATTTTAACTTGAAACCATACAATAGCTAGTAGAGCACCATAGTTTTATTCCCCATTGAATAGGTTTAGTTGCAGTTATCTTGAAGCTGCTTACATTAACTTATTTAATTGTTCTAGCCAGAGATATATAACTATTATTCTTAACACGATTGTTGTAATACAAAACGAACGTTTTTGAACGTAAAAAAGAAACTTAATAAAGTAACATTCATTAGTAAAAATAGTACCTAACTAGAAATTAGCTTCTAACAACTTTCACCTTATATTGAGAAAATCTCGACGTCACCAGACATTCTTCAGTACCACTAACACCTTTGTACAAAATCGGCGCGCACTTACCCAAGTCGTCTACAAAAACTTTGTCCTTTTCCGACAACGAAGATATCACAACCCCAAAACCTTTCAAAAGACATTTCAAAACATTTTTTATTTCAAACTCACTGAACAATACGAAAGGCATAGCTCGCGTCTCTATACCTACACAAATTCCAACATTGGTTACTTTCACAAAATTACCATCCTCTCCATCGAAATCTATAGGCTCTAACGACTTTAAAACATCAGCTTTTTTCTCTTTTACGCCTATTGATTCCGTTTTTTCTATAACCATGTTTAATAACGTATATCTCTTACTGGGATCTTGTTTCGACCAATTGAGAGCACGAGCTGTTTGCTTTTCAACATCGATTGAAAGTTCTATTCGATCTTTCGCATAGGAAATATCGATAATCGAATAAAATGCTTGCGAAGATTTTATTGGTCCATCGATAGAGCCGAAATCGTTGATCCAGATGACGGTGGAATCGATTCCGTATGCTATTTGATTAGCCTGAGATATATCCGCGCACCAGAGTGAGACAGTGAACGGTTTGTACGTGTATAAAAGAGACAGAAGCTCTTCATCAGTTCTATACGCTTCGATTACAACATGGTGGTCAGAATGTTCAAGGCCGGTGTACTCGAACAGAAACAGTCTATCGTGTATATTGTAAGCACTATTACACTCCACATTCGGAGTTGGTAATAAGGAATTAGGTAATCTATTCGACCTCCATTCTAGGATTTGTTTCAAAGGTTCCACGATGCTTTCCTGCACTAACACACGACGTATTCTCCAAGGATCCTGCAAAACAAACGTATCACCACCACGAAGACAGGCGTCGAATTGAAATATTTACACGCCTCGTCTGATAAGTATGCCTTGTGGGGGCCTAGAGGACGTTAGTCTCCTTCCCATCCTCTCTTCTAACTAAACTAGGGAACGGTCACTTACTCAATTATTTTGTGTGAAATGTGAGTTAAAATGTACTAATTATAAAGGGTAGGTAGTGTTATAAAATTTTGTGTAAAAAATTTACTAGGATTTTTTTAGAAGTAACGAGTTTTGTGTATGAGTGACGATTGGATGATAAATATTAAGTTCTCACCTGTGAAGCTGAAACGATGAAATTGTCAATGGCAGAATCGATGTCTGACTGCTCGGTCACCACGAATATACACCCTCTCTGCACTTCTACACAATTTAATAGTAACTCGATACAATTGGTTGTTCAATTTGTTATACAATTTCTTAATAACTGGTTGCAAATTAAAAAAGCCTACTCTGGTACAAAACTGCTATGATATTGGGCAACAAAGAATACGAATCGAATGACACCTCGCCTCTAATCCTTAGTCCACCTTATTTAAAACTTACTGAATGGTTTAAGCAACTTAGAATTCAATAGCTAATCTAAAACATCAATTTAAATTCAAACACTAACCTCTTATTATCAAATCACAACCAATATCAGCCAACGATGGTTCCTTTACAAAAGCCAAACTAACGGATAATCTGTAACGCAGTATAAAATTAATAAAAACAGACTTTATTCTAAAAAAAACAAATCAAAATTAAATCCATGAAATGAAAGATCACATAAAGTTACACAGAGTCTAAATACGACGAACAAAATTATGTTCAATTTATCAAAATTTGGCAGTAATAGTAGGTGTGGTAGTAGACTAGTGGAAAAAGATATTAAATCTGACCCAGCTTTGCGGCACAACGTTACGAAGAGATGGCACAGCACAGCGGTGTGAGGCACGGCCTCCACAACCACGTGCCCAGCGCCGCACACCAGCTGCGCCACGAAGCCCAGCGCGCACAGTGGAGACCGACCCTGCATCGCCAACACATTGCCTGCCACACAATACTAAATCAAGACCTACTGACAACCCTAACAAGATATAAGCCCGGTTGGTGAGAGAATCTATAAGGCACATTTAGACATAAGCCGGGATAGTACAAGCAACACTTGACAGTTGCTTCAGAATGAGAAAAACAAGAGGAAAAATGTGAATGTTTAAATGGATAGATGGATGTTTGTTTGAAGGTATCTCCACCATAGATATAGCTAAAATTTGTCATAGATGTAGAACATAGTCTGGAAGAATACATAGGCTGATATTTATAAATTATTATTTTTTATTCCGAGCGGTGTAGCGGGCAACAACTAGTTTTACAGAATAAAATAACTTACTAGTATATCTCTTCTGTGTGATAACTCTGTTCACATACATTATATTCTGCACGATCAATTTCATATCAATATTCAGACTTTCATTTATCGGCTTTTTCCTTTCCATGTAATCTATTTGTGCAAATAGCAATTTATTTTCTTCAATCAAGTCAGCTAATTCTTTTAAATTGCAAGATAATGTTGTCACACCGTCTTGGTCCTCCCATACACTTGACGCAACAAAATCAATATTTCTTTTGTAAACAGAATACATGACTTTATTACCGCAACTGTCCACTGCATATTCCACTGTATCACTATACCCAAGGGAATGAAATACTTCTTTACTTTTCATATATTCCTGTAAATAAAAAAAATAATTATCAAAACAAGTTATTCCATAAATTTAAGCTTTACTCAATATATTTGATGTACTTTGAAGTTTTTACTACAATATGGCCATAGGTTAATCAAACAAGGAGGAGCATGGTGTTTGATTCTTAGAATCTAGGGTTCCATCAAATACTCAGCTTCCAAAAAGTTTCCCACAACTTTGAGAATCCCTAAATAAGTGGGTACCACATTAAACATTATAAAGTTATGGGAAAAAGATGACAGATGATAGAACCACATATACAGTCAAACCAGTATAATTGAGAATCCAAGGAACTGCAATATTTTATGGCTATAGAGGTTTCTCACTGGTCCATATTTGACTGTACATACATCCAATCATATGTGATAGATTTACTATAGATAAGTTTATAGTACTGTCTTTTGAAAATTTAAATACATTTTTGCCATCTAAAACAATTCCACCAACAAGAAGTTTTGCAATGTGGATATAATTTCTTAAAGTAAATAATTATTTTTAACATTTTTGTATAGTTTACTCACTTTGGCCTTCGTGGTGTCAACCATTTTGTCAAATTGTAAATTGCCAAACATTATAAATACACCTGTAAATCAATCATTTGTCATATTCATTGCACATAATATGAAGACATACATAGTAATATTAAACATTAAATTTGAGCACTTCCTAATTTAAATACTTTGCGAAAAGTTCCTACCACTTATTGCATTATCAATGATTTTTTTTATTGAAAACTTTAATCCTAATATAGCATTCAACTATATTAATTAAAACTATTAATAAAAAAGAGTAAAGGACTGAGAATACAACCTGCAAGATTATTAATATAACACGAAAGATGATATAATGCGAGATAATTACTATAAGAAAATAATTTAAAGTATACATACGTTATTGTGTTACGAATACTGATAACAGCTATAAAGTATTTCTTTTGTAATACAATTTAAATCTTTATGCTTATCAAGGAATCGTATGGGTTCATATTAGGTTGAATTAAAGATGATAAAATAAAATAAACCAGTCTAACTTGGTCCAAATTCCTTATCTTCAAATGTCAAAGTCAAATGTTTGGTTTTTTTAAATTACGCGGAAACTGTAAATCAAAATATTTTAAATCTTACTGCATGGGATTAAGGTTGTAAATAAGTTTTTTGAAAGTCAAGTTGTCAATTGTAAATATATCACGTGGCACACTTACTGCCAATGTCATTGGACAATATTTTAGGCGGGAAGATGGGAATAACAATGATGAATAAGTTTTGAAATGTAGAGTTTTGATTTTAATTCTGTCGGATAACCACTTTTTGCTTTTGTTTGACCTACAAATATACGAAACCCACTATAAAATTATATATTTATTTAACAATTTCTATTAAAACATTTTCGTACGATAGTCGTGCAATTTCATACGATTTCATCGCAGGCCTTTGAACCAGTCAGTTGTTTAAGAACATTTATGGGGTATACATGTCCAAGTACCGTAGCGGGACTAAGCCAGATTGATAATAATTAGGAATGCTTGATATGTTCAGGGATCGACGAGCGATCACAGGCCGATAAAAATAGTATTGCAAAATGTCAGAGACGACATCGCCGTTCCAATTTCAATCAACAAACAAACGATAGTGACATACTGCTATGACTTTTACAACGTGCAACGCTTTATGTAGTATTTGTGTAATTATAATAGGGTAAATTTGTTTTTCTAAATGCACATGCGTTTTAATTCAAGCAAACGCAATATGGTTCCAAATCACTGGTGATTCAATATGAAGATGGCAAACACATCACGGAAGGGACAAGTATACAGTGTTGGCAATTACCTTATGACTGGTAAGGTATTAGGTAAAGGACACTTCGCAAGAGTTGAGGAGGCAACGCACAGGATTATAGGAAAAAAGGTGAATTAATTATTCCAGCCGATAAAAGCGTAAACAAAACAACCAGTTTACAATTGCGCGAAACTAATTGTAGTTAACATTTAAATTAATATTTCCATGTCTAATTTATCGTATGGCAACACTTCAACGGCAGTTAAAACTCGAATTTTATTTGATTAAAATGACCTTTTTATATTTGTACTATGCGTATATAATTCCTATTGTGACGCAGGTGGCTATAAAAATAATTGATCTTACCTGTATAAAAGAAGAGTACGCCCGCCGCAACCTGCACAGAGAGCCGAGAGTTATGGCCAAGTTGCGGCACCCGTGTATCGCTGCCCTATACGAAACTATGATGGTAAAATAGTTAACACTATAAAATAGATATGCTACAAAAAGGTGAAATTACGATTAAATGTTTGCAAAAATTCAATTTATTTACTAGAAAGTTGGTTGTCATAGACGACGCTGACGCCAGTTTACCGCCCAGATCTAGTCACTAGACCACGAACTGGCAGGCGACAAATATTGTTTTGTAAACCATGTCGGTAATGGTAGCCATGCGTCTATCCTGTTAGTGACAAAAGCATGTTAGTATATTTAGATATGTTGGTAGCACGGGCCGCGGCTGTACGTAGTGATGGAGGCGGCGGGCGGAGGCGACCTGTGCGCACACGTGCTGGCGACACGCGGCGCAGCACGAGGCCTGCCGGAGGGCCGCGCGCGCGCCCTCGCCGCGCAGCTTGTCTCCGCCGTGCGCCACATGCACTGTCGCGGCGTCGTGCACCGGTCACACATTTTACTTCTTATCTTACTAATATTATAAATGCAAATGTTTTGATATATAGAGGATGGATATTAGAGGGTATCTACAAAACGGCTGAATGGATCTCGCTGAAATTTGCCATAGATGTAGAACTTAGTCTGGAAGAACCAGACAAAAATGACCTACGCGAAGCAAATATAAATAAGCATACCGTCGTAACCAAAAGACAGTTCATAGATTTATATTTGCTGCGATCCTGATATATGGAATGATTGTAATCTTACTAATTATTTCTTTAAGGTTGATGTCTTATGAAAATCAAAATATGTTTTTACTTTTTTAGTGATTTAAAAATGGAGAACATCATGCTGGATAGCACGAAGCAGTTCATCAAAATTGTAGGTACGTAAATTAACTAACATATGTCATTCCATGCACCAAATTGTTTCGATCTATCTGTTTAGAATGACATCTGTTTTGCAGATTTTGGCCTTTCCAACGTGTGGAACATCAGCGGGGCGCTCTGCACGCCGTGCGGCTCACTCGAGTACGCGGCACCCGAATTGTTCGTCGACGGGCGACGTTACGGGCCCGAAGTCGATCTCTGGAGCATGTCGGTACCCACATACAATATAGTGCATAAACTACACAACACACAATCACGCCCGCTATCTAAATGGATTGACAGAAATCATGGATATCCACTTGAGAGTACCCCAAGCAGTATCTGTGGCTCAGGGGTTAAGTACTTGATTTGTAATCTGTTGGTCCTGGGTTGGAATCCCATCGTGTACAGATTGGTTTTTTAATTTTTGATTTACATATATGCAAATTTATCAGACGTTTTTATGATGAAGTAAAAGTTCATTATGCAACCTGCACATATCTGGGAATAAATTCAAAGTTATGTTTTTTTTATCGGATATAATGATTTTTGAATGCTGATGTACTGATGTAGGGTGTCAGGTTACAGGTTAGAGCGGTGTGTATGTTGCAGCGGTGTGATAGTGTACGGCATGGTGACGGGCAGCTTGCCGTTCGCGGACGCGGAGTCGGCGGAGGGGCGGTCGCGGCCGCAGCTGCGCGCCGCCATCGCGCGCGGCTTCTCCCGCAAGCAGCGCGTCGCGCTCGCATGCGTCTCCAGCGGTCAGTCACGCTGACCACACTAAACCAAACATAAACACTCTCTTAGTGTCTACTTAACGACTCTGTGTAGCAGTAACTTTTGACATGCAACTTTATTGTAATAAAGTAATAAATCCCTCATAAAACTTAATATTCTGTTCAATAGAGTACAGAGTAATCGTCAATCTCGCTTTTCTATAGTTTACATGACATTAGAAATCATTACTTTGCAACTATCTTGTGAATAATTTTTAAAAATAAAACACATTTTGCATCTAAATTGTTTTATGGAAAAATTATAAATCAAGTTTACAAGCATTCATACATTGTTCCTCTTGTTTCTTAACTTTAACAAAACTGAACGTCTCAGAGCTATAGTTCAACGTAACTCAACAGTTTGACAGTTCACTTCACATATTATAACGCGACAGACCTTCGTCACTCATTCTGTGTAAACTGAAACAGAAGAACATAGATTAACATTATTAACACAATATTTCAAATAAGCTGTCACCATACAAAAAAGTTAGAGTAGATGGGGTAAAGGACAAGAGGAAAATATTCTCTACGGCTCCGTTATTCACGTGTTTGTTCCAGAATGCAAGACGTTTATCCAACACCTTCTAGAACCGAACGTGGAGCTCCGGCTGAAGATTGAGGAAGCGGCGCGACATCGCTGGATACGCAAGCCCGGCATGAGGATGAAGACGCACCCCCTGGGCGCCACTGAACCCAAAATTAACAGAGAGGTCACACGTTCTAACACGATTATTAATTAAATCTCTTTCAGAGACAATTTAGGTTGCTCGACGACTATGTTTTTTTCTTCATTTTAGATTTATAACCAAGTGGCCGAGCTTTGCGGTCAGACCAAGGTGGACGTGATAACTCAGATAAAGGCGGACCCGTTCGGTCCCGTGGCGGGCATCTACAACATAAAGACGCACCTACACCTCATGCACTCGGTGGCCGGCGCCGACATGCTCTGGTCCACCAACACCGTGGAGGCCCGCCCTCTCTCCCCGCCAGAGTACAGGGTCAGGACCGACCTCGAAGCTTCCTCGAGCAGCAGAAGATTCTTCGGACACTCCCCCCCTAGAGGCTCCAAGAGCCCGATCAGAAGGACGACAACTATGCCGCCGAAGCCGCCCGACATCAAAATCCAAACCGCACCTAAACCCGGCGCCGCGTTCACCAAGGCGTCGCCGACGACCACCATCCCCAAGGACATTTTGAGGCAAAGAATAATCGACAGAAGGGTCGAAAAGGCGAAAGCCATCGAGGGCGCAAAGAAGAATCCGGCCGAGCAGAGCCCGAAGGCGAGCAATCAGACGGCGCCCGCTCACTTCATATCGAATAAGATAATAGTGTACGACAGCGGCGACTGCACGATGAACTCGCGGCTGCCCAGCATCACGGAGCACTCCAGCACCGACGTGGCAGAGCGGGGCGGGGCGCGGGGAGGCGCGCGGGGCGGGGCGCACAAGCCGCCGGAGGAGCGCGCGCTGCGTCTCGGCGCCTGCCCCAACGCACTCGACTGTCGCCGGGCAGACTTCTACCGGCGCGCGGGAGATGGCCTGCCCAGGTCTGATTTGCACTACTATTTATTGTTCTCCATATCTAAACTAATTACTTAAAAATATTTTTGTTTCATAATGAAAGTTGGCGAGTGGGTGGTCCACTGGCGACGCCGCCCGCGCGCCTGCTCATCCAGACCACCGCGACGGGCATCAAGCGCGCTTCTCTAGGGTACGTCCAGCACTTAATATATCTATGTGTTTGTTGTTGGTTATGTGACCTCCTTTTTGACTACATATAATTTTACAGAAACATCATCAGTCCTCACTCGTCAACTAACAGCCATTGCAAGAGCGAAAGGGCGATGCCGGTGAGAATTTTTTCCTCTTCGCTATTTTTATTTGCTGTGATAAGCAAAAAAAAAATCGTGTTTTTTGTGTGTCAGGTGCCGTGGTTCTCGAGCAAGGCGACGCTGAGCAAGGAGACGACGCACACGCAGCGCATCAGACGGACGGCGCCGATCAAGTGACGCAGTGTCCCGGGCACGACTCTCGCGCGCCCGAATATTTTTGACGGCCATATTTTTTAAGCATTTTTGTTTGTAAAAAAATTCTTTTATCGAGACCACCTCATGTAAGTTTAAGCGAATTATAATTTTTTTTTATCTTACTGTACCGGCTACTAAATACAGGTGGTTTTTTTAAACAATCTTCTTTTCGACTTATTGCCTTATCTATATACTTTATATGTAAAATGAAAAAATAGAGCAATTTTTACAAATTGAGCATTTATATTATTTTTTCAAAAATATTTACAACACAAGTACAAGAAAATCATACTACATTGAGGATCCCCTTGATATTAAACGAGTCAATTTTGCAAATTCTCGTATAGACACCTCTTTTACAAAAAAAAAACTTGAACCTCGATAGATTTCTTACACGAGTTTCTCGCTTATGAAGAGTCCGTAGGGAGCAGACCAATGACTCGCTTATAGAGGTTTCTCGCTTGTTTAGGTTTAGCGTGATGTTTGTATGTTGTTGTGGCACTCACTGGTGTGGTGGGCGTGGCGGGGGGTGCGTGTCGCGCAGTGGTGGGCGTGTCGGGGGGCGTGTCGTCAGTGGTGCGGCATGTGCGCGGCGTTGGCCATAGCCGCCAGCCGCGTGTACGTGGTGTGAGCGCGCCCCGGCGTCGGCGAGTCGCCCGCCTGGGGCTCGTTCTTGAACACCGCGACGCACTTCCATTGGTTCAAGTATTGCACTGAAAACACAACAATTATCTTTAATATTTTGAGTGGAGGTGAGTGTACGGTGCAATAGACTTATTAGGATAGAGCCAACGTACTCTTCCAGAGCCTGACGCAGCAGTCGTCGCCGGAGGAGGCGAGCAGTGTGCCGGTCACGTTCCAGGAGACGCGCCACACGCAGGAGTAGTGGTCGTCGAAGGCCGCCAGCACCTCCGTCTTGTAGCGCGCGCCGCACCCGTTGCCCGCCGCACCCACCGCGCCCCCTGCGCCCCCCGCACCCGCCGCGCCCCCCGCGCCGCCGGACGACTCGCTACAAAACTTCTATAATGGAACATCTTGGAACAACTAGAAATACTTAAATGAAGTTATAATAGTTTTGTATAAAAGACTCGTAATGATGATATATAACATGACATATAAGTGTGACACATGCATTTGCAAAGTTGCAATGTTGTTAGTCTTACGGTAACGGCTCGATCTTGATGATGCGGACGTCCTTGGTGGCGACGGCGAGCAGGTGGAAGGAGCGGCCGAGGTTGGGCGCGAAGGCCAGGTCGTTGACGGGCTCCTGCACCGCAGACACGCAGTCAGTGCGCGTCCACCGCCGCGACGTCTCCGCGTATCTACACGACAACGAACTCCACTGCAGTCACACTTGAAAATATGAACACTATCGAACCTAGCTAAGCGAGAGTGATATCCCATCGGAAGGGACATCCTACTTAAGCAATACTACTACTTATAGTATATAAGCGAGAAACTCGGGTAAGAAAATCTCTAACCTCTATATGCGAGAAAAATATCCTAGTCCCTTAGACTTTCACTCATCCAGGTTAAACTAAATGTTTTTGCAAACATTGGGAAGACTATTTTGCTTTACAGAGACAATCTCTGTAGTATACATTATGTAACATTTGTTATTAAGACAATTATTCATTTATTATTCTTATTCTTAATATATTATATTTCATACGATAAAATAAAAAATTATACAAAATATATTAAAAATAGAGCACCACCAGCTGCGGAGTCCCATGACTCAAACAACCAGTGGTCAGGGCTGCAGAGACAGGAACCTTCTCACGATGCGTGCAGTTTCTAGGGCTGCCTTTATTTAGACTATTTATAAAGCAGATATACTTACTCATAGATGAAAACTTTTCCATTACAAGTTTTGTCCACCTGGTTACTGCTAGAATTGGAGACATTTGGTTCATCGCTGCCCACTGCCAACATTGGTGGATTCACTCTGTTGCTGTTGGACATTCAACCGTCAATGTAGTGTTGATAAGATTCATAATTGTTTAATTACAGTGGTTTCATACTGATGGAGTCAGTAGCAACAAACATCAACATTTTCAATAATAAATGCTCACCTTGATAATGTAGGGTTCCATGATAGACAACTAATTGATACTTTGGTAGGGATCTCATGCTGGAGGGTCCATTGAGCCAGATTCATTACATCGGGAGCTTCATAAATTCTGTAATCAAAACAATCTCATATCAAGATAACTATATATATAAATATAGATATAAATCTTCTAGGTATGACTCATTTATAAGAAAAACAATGATGAAAAAATAGTTCCTAATAAAATTAATGTAAAACATTATTTTGTACTTGATTTGCCTAACTACCTTTAAGGTACAATGTGCGACCTAAAAACAGTATTTAGAACGATTATCAGCACTTGTCTGCCCATTTCTGAACATAGGTTATTCATTATTATGATTTTTTTAATGTTACCTTATAATTCCATCTGCTGAACAAGTGACTAGCAATAAACCTAGATGTTTTGGACCAAACTTTACATCTGTCACTGAGGTCCTAGAGTCCACTAAATTTGACCGTTTAACCCATGTGCGGAGACCTTTCTCAGAGCCAGGGGCTGTTGTATCACCTAAAATAAAAAATAAAAATATATCTTTCCAAATGATAATAAAATGGCAGTTGTAATTATGTATTATATATATATTTTTCAATTTTAACCTAATCTAATTTAGTTATTTTAAATTATATTAAATTGTTTCACTTACCAACTTCTTCCCATATAGCAACAGTTCTATCAAATGAACATGTTGCTAAAACTTGCCCAAACTCTGGATGAGCCCAAGTCACCTTCCAGACAGAACCGTGGTGGGCTTTCCAGCTGCCTGTAAGCCGCCAACCGCCTCGCCCGTCTGTATCCCACACCTGGAAAATTTGAGAATACTAGTTTAATAAATGTTGCACATACAGACACAAAGGCATATTTAACCACATATTTAAGAAACTTCAAGTCAAGCATATTACAAAAACTTACTTTAACGTACTGATCGCTAGAACAAGTGGCCATTCTTTCTCCGTAAAAATCATAAGCGACATCGTGTATAAGGTCTTTGTGATCTGCATTGATAGTTTGTGATTCAAATAAATTTGTTGCCGCAAGTTCGGCCATTATAGTTTTCGAGTATATTCAAAAAATTATCAATCCTAAAAACATAAGTAAATAACCCTCTTTGAACCGTAAAATTGACATTGACAAACAATCGACACTGACATAATTGTTTTTTTTTATATTTTATGACCTGGTAACATAGACCTTTAGGGCATTTCTTATTTAGATATATTTTATGACATATAGACTTCACAGAGTGCAAAGTTTCAAAGAATGGAGAGAGTTTGTACTTGACTGTAAAGTAAAACAAACATATCTGCTGATTACTTCGGTACCCCGACTATACATGATCAAGTTTAACGTCGAATGCAAGTTTTTTCGCGTAAATTTTTAAAAAGTTCTGTGTGCTTAAACGAGAAGATGCTGGAATTTGTTGTTTAGTGGCCAAGATCCAAGGCTTTAATGACCACTTGTACCTGACATCAAAAAAATATTCTAGGACACATAGATTTATTTCAATGAGGTTTCTTTTCCACTTATTTAAACAAAAAAATGCAATAATAGTAAAGACACATGTATTTAGTGAAACATTAGTAACAAGAAGTCAATTCTTGGAAAACAATTGTAGTCTATTAAACTGAGTACATTTTTACGGTTCATAACTTTTACAGTTAACATGGCACTAGATAGATCTCCCACATACATTTAACAACTACATTGTGTCTCAACAAGCAAATTCATATTTCAACTTAGATTTAAAACTATAAATACATCTTTTTAACATCAACCTTAAGAAATAATTTTAAAACAGAATATTAATATATGTTATTATGTTGAATATCAGTCGGTTAAAAATCTTATATAATAAATATCACATTAAAAGCCATAATTTTGCAATACGAATTCATTAAAAATAATCAATTTTATGAGATTTTCATTATAAATATTGTGAGATGTCATTAGATACAGTAAATAGATATTCAAAAGAGATTTTGCTGTGATTTCAACTGCTCTACTTGTAAGACAAGCTTCCTATTTGTTTCTACCAACATATTCTGATTTTGAATTAAGGTATGTATCTGTTCATTCATCCCGAATAGTTGCTTCTCTAAAAACAGTTTCTGTTTTGTCAAAGCCATCATAATATGAAGGAAATAATTCCTATTATCATCAGCAACATCTGCTAATGTTAATTTTATAAAATCCTTTAACTCTTCGATACTTTTTGAATTTACCATATCACCATTTAAATTTATATTTGATAATTTTATGTCAGTTGTATTAGTATTCAAGTTTTTGTCATGTGTGCCATTTGGTATTGTCAATGGGGATGTGAATTGTAAATTATCTGCAGTCCGGCTTGTTAATGGTGTTGATATTTTGCTGATATTTTTCTCTGCATCTAATTGACAATATCTAAATTCAAATTTGTCACTTCTCCTTTCTCCATTATCCACTGATTTAATTCCATCATCATCAACATCCACATTGGATTTATCTAGACCCATCATAACAAGAAAAGAATCTACTTTATTATCAAGGCCCTGTGGTGATGCTTCTTCATTTCTTGGTGGTGTATCATTAATGAAAAATGTATCAGATGTTCTCCCTCTCACTGGCGATTGTAATTTGAAGGAAGAATTAACCTCAACATCCTCTCTCAGACTTGTATCATTTAAATTTTTCTTTCGTGGTGGTTGAAAAGCCACCTTACAAACTTCTTCATTATGGCCTCTCAAAACTTTGAATGGTGCATTTAAATCACGTAAATCATAGATAAGGATATAGCCATTTTTCGTACCAAGAGCAACTTGATTTTCAAGATTAATGGCAAGAGATTTGAGAGGATATAAAGTTGTTATTGTTGAAACCACATTTTGCATCCGAATATCATACACATGCATTATTTTATCGTAACCACAAGACAGTAACACATCTCTATTGATAAGGGAGTAGGCAATATCACTAACTGGAGATGCATGAATGTTTTCAAAGTAATTTCTATCCTTGTTGCAAGTAACATCTTTAACTACAACATGACCTTCTTCTGTAGCAAGTCCTAGAAGAAATCTTGATTCATTGTGGAATTTCATTGCTGAGATGCTTTTAGAACATGACAATTTTACAGTCATGAGAGGAATATTTGATGTTAAACTGTAAATCACAGTATCCCCATTACCCATTGCTGCGGCTAAACTTGTATTCTTCACATTATAACTAATGAAATTTACACATGACGCTTGTGCAGGTGCAGAAAAATTCTTAGTAACACTTTTGTTCTTTGTGTCCCAGATCAAAACATTACCATTTTTTGTGCCTATTGCAACATTACGGTGACCATCGCGATGGAAGCTAGCCGACCAAGTATCTTTCAATGGTACATGTTGTAAGCTACGGATGTCATGTTCTGCAGGGCTCAAAATATCTATTAGACCTTTGGAGTTAACCTGCAAATTTTACACATTTTAAATAACCTGTTTGATGAATTCAATAAATAGCGTTGTTTTATCAATATTTACCTGTAAAATGTATTTGCTGTCGTCGCTCCACGATACATCTCGTAATATACCTTCGTAACAGTCGTAAGATTTTTTCAAATCCCAACTGTTGGTGTCGTAGAGAAGCAATCGGGAGCTGATCGACGACAAATACATTTTTCAAATAACACCAAAAGGTGCTAAATTAGATTAATTTGGATAGAATAGCGGAATAAAATTCCGCTTCTTTTAATTGAAAAACCGTAAACAAAGTTACGTGAAATATCAGGAATTAACTTAAATTTTGACCAAAGAGTTTATTTTGACAGCTAAAAAATTAAAATTGTCAAACGGTTAAACGGCAACAAAAAATTGAAGTTGCCAGAGGTAAAAATTGTTTCTGTTTATACCATTTTGGATTTGGTTATATGATGATATGATATGATATAATGTCTATGCTGATTTATATTTAAAATAATTGAAACTTTAATTTTAAAGTGAAAAATTATAGATATTTTAGGGATAAAGAAATTCAGATTAACTTATTCATCATTTCTTTGGCCCTGTGTTTTGGCCTTATTCAAAAGAAAAAGTTAGTCAACTTCTTTATCTTATATAGTATACTTACCATACTCTTTGTTCTTTATCTTATTTTTGTTATTTTCTTTTTATGTGTTCTATAATTTCTTTGCTTTTTAATTTTTGACTTTTTGAGTGAAATAATCATTGGAGTAAGTAATAAGCGATAAGAATACAGAATACGATATTAAGATTACTTAGGCTTATTGTGTTAAGTTGTTTAGGTAAGTTTAAATCAATATAATATATTAACATAATAATAATTCAATTACATTTGTTAATTTGAAGGCAAAGCTTATTATTTTATAACTATATCTTTCAGATGAAATCGTCATCATGGTTACAGATTTCCAGATAGCTTTTTTGTATAACATTCTAGGCATGACTATTTTCGTTTTGGTCATACTTTATCATTATGTCACCGCGAATTGTTCGAAATAAAAAAGTAAGTAGTCTTTAAGAGAGGCCCATAAGGTAAATATTGTTATATTATTTTTAAGCCTGATTATAACAAAAGCCATACACTCCACGCTTGAGCATGTGCTTTGAAAAACGCGCGCTCTGAGATTCATTTGATCGCAGTCTTTGTTCTTTCCCTTATTATGATATGTATAATCTTTGTCCAAAGTAATGAACATTTTCCAAATAAGATATGACCTAAAGGTCTATGTTACCAGGTCATAAAATAAAAAAAAAGTATAATCTTTGACTTTTATTTTGAATGACGTGTAATTGGTTTTTGACACTTGCATTTTGCTTATTATAGCTGTGTTTTTCTAAGAATTATTGGAGGAATAAACATCTTGGTAAGTTAAAATACTTGTTAACGCAGTATGATAATCCAATGATTACATCAAAATGGTGATAATGCGAAAGTCCAACATTTTACCGGCTTACTTACCTAACCTATTAAGCATATATTGAACTGTTATATTATCTTCATTGTTTGCCACTTATGTATAACGTTACTTGATTTTTTTTTTACAAAGTTTCTAATTTTTAAAACATTTCTTTCAGATAACTTCGTCATAATGATTACAGACATCCAGTTAGCCGTTTTCTCCAACATTCTAGGCGTGTCTATTTTCCTTTTGGTCATATTGTATCATTACATCAATGCTAATAGTTCCAAATAAAAACGTAAGTAAAATAAAACTTATTAACGAAAACATGAGTATAGTATGAGCAAGTCTTAAGGCAATTTGGTAATACACCTAATGCCGTTAACTGAAAGTAAAATGTAAATCAAAAGTTTTAAAATTTCTGTTTACACTTATGTTGAATTGTAATTTGAAGAAAAATAAATTTATATTTTCTTTTTTTTCAGGTATATCTCTTACAAATCGCAAACATTAAAATATCAATTTTTAAGAATTAAGATGTTAATAAATTAAGATTTTTAAACAAGTTTTTTATTTAAAAATTATGAGATCTCACATGTGTATGTAAAATATTTAATCTATACCTACCTTAAATTCATAGAACTTTAATGCTTTTATAAGCTGGCCTTTGTTCTTTCCCAGATACCACTTTTAAAAAAGATATATAAAAGCAACCTTTCCCGAATTGACTACAAAAATATCTTCTACTGCATATGTAAAGTTGATAGTTTATAAAATAAAGGGTACCTATTTAAAATAATGCATGACATTGGAGATTACATTTTCGACTAAAATCATTGTATTGTGTCAAATATTGTTATTTAAACACTTTAGTAGAGCTGCTGTCATGAAATGTATATTTATGATGGTTCCATATCTAAATGAAAAAATAACCAAAGTAGACTTCATTGTTAGTCTGTTCCTAAAACGCCTGCTATATTTTAATATCAATTATAAACAAATGTCAAACATTTTTGCTACTTGATTTCTGCAGGAGCAACTTGGGAATACAAATGAACAATAAGACACTATTTTAACAAAAAAAAATGTTTATAACATATATTTTGATATAATTAATATTCAGTCAGTATTAATATCCGGTTTTATTCACCAACAACTTCAGTTTGTAGATTAAATAAATAATGCATTCATATCTATTGAAATAAATTAAGACATTATTAAATAATTGCATATATCTCACATGTTTCTTTCGGACACAAGTCGGACATTATTAGTATTTCGGTATTATCATTCAAGCGTGAACTTATAACGCTACAATAAATATAATCACCTACAATAGTAATGGACAGTGCTTCACTTACTCAAAATCGTATTTCTGAAACGTCCACAAAAGTTTACGTATCCTGGAATAAATCAACGTTTTAAAGTCCTTTGCTACAATAAAATCTAAATGCGAAAAATGTTCGTACGGTACTTTATACAGATCGATGACGTTCGTCAGCTTGTTGTAAAGTTGGTCAACGTCCCGAGGGTCCGCAAGCCAGTCCGCCTCGCTGTAGAACATGGCGACGGGCGTCCGCACGTTCTCCAGCACGTAGCTCGGCGGCCGCTTCTCTCCGTACACCACCGTATTCACCATGTCTCCATAGTCGAACTGTCGAAAATCACCCGAAACTATACCCTGGGCGTAATGAGCAAACTGCTTGCCGGACGCTCCCGAAGGCATATGCCCGTACAACACCGGCAGATTGGTCACGTTTAGCTGCTCAAAATCGAAGCCGAGGGTGAGGAAGACAAAGTTGGTGCATAGTATCTCCGCCAACCGTTCGGCGCGGCAAAGCAGTTGCCGCAGCAGTTTGGTGGCTGCATTGTCCGGCAACACTTCGTACAGACCTAGTCCCTTCATTATATTGTGCAGGAAGGGCGCGCCCGGAGCTGTCAGCCGCACTATCGGCGACTTTACGTGGTTCATGAACGCCACCGGTGACAGGGCGATCATCAAAGATATCTTATTGTTGTAATCTGGTCTTTCGGATGCCATCACAAAAAAAGCAGTAGTCCCCTGCGAGTGGCCGATGTACTTCAGTCTGGCCGACCTCGTGGCGAGAAGCACGTAGTTGATCATGGCCGGGAGGTCGTAGAAGCCGATCTCGTGCCAGGAGAAGTCCCAGAAGTCCGCTTCGGTCGTGTCAAAGGCGTTGTGGAAGCGCGAGTGCTTGTTCCCGCGCGCGTTGCCCATCCACACGTCGTAGCCCTCATCGGCGAGAAGGTAGGCGAGCGCGCTCACTGGCCCAGACACCACCCAGTCATCGGAACTGCCGAGCAGCCCGTGCATAAGGAATACTGCGGAAGCGTTATCGTTGGGTATTCTGTGCATTGTCAGGAAGTATCCGTCCTGGGTCTCGACCATATGTTTCTCTATCGGGTATCCATATTTCGACACTAGGTCGGTTATGGTCAAATTGATATCTTCGTTGGAGAGACCTTCGGTGAATTCGTTTATGATGCGATTCGTCACCTCGACTGAGTTGGTATCGCTTACCAGAGTGGGAAATCCATAGCTGATGCCGAGCGATCGAACCAGCGATAACGGCACGGTGGTCACCAAGTTGGCAGTACCGGCCAAGAGATCTCCAGACATCTGAGTAATTTGCCTCACCAGGGGTAATTTTGCGATGCCCCCGATCAGCTGTCCCGTGGAGGAGGTGATGCCGGCTAGTAGGTCGTGCTCCTGCGCCGAGCAGGCGAGCAGGGCAACGGCGAGCAACAAGGGTGTGACGCGGAAGAACATTTCACACTGCCTACCAGCACATTGGCTTCCGTCAAACTGATCTCTTCCAATGCTATCGGCCTTGGTTTTACCATGTTTCCGTTTTTTTTTTCTAAGTAAAAACAAAGTATATTATCAATGCTTTGACGTCTGTTTCATTGAATCTATACAAACGAAGAAAATGTAAAATATAAGCATTGTTGTGTTTTGTGGTGCAAAATATTAAAAATGGCCGACATCTTTTCTTATTTAGTTCAATTTGTGTTTTATTGCATTTGCTATAGCAATAAAAATAGATTCAACAGATTATTGAACATTACAGTGATTCCCTGAATACAAACGCAAAAAATTAGTACATCATTCACGAGATACTGTCGTCTAACGTATATTTTTATTTTTTTATATATTTTACGTATATTTTTAACTTATGGAAAGGATGTTAGGTTGAATTGCGTATCCACACGCTTACTCGTAGCTCATAGCATCCGAATTACTTTAACGTCGATTATTATTTTTTGTATGGTTGTATTTGAACTTTTTGTAGATGTCAAACGTGACTATTCCGTACAATAATCGAATGATTACGTCGTTTATAAGACCTATCCAAATTCGATAAAGATACTGAGATATTATTAAATAATAATATAGCGTTAAGTTTGTAAAATGGACTAAAACCAAAATACTTCTTGAATACTGTCTTAATATACTTATTACTCATCTATACTAATGTGATAAAGATTTGATTGTTTATTTGCATTGAGTATACTCCGCAACTAGTGAACCGATTTGGAAATCATTTACTTTTCGGAAGCTATACTATTCCCGGGTGACATAAGCTATATTTATTTCCCAGATTTTTTTTAAAATTCCGAGCAGACGTAGTCATGGGCAACTGCTGGTAACATTTTAAATGCAAAAGTTTAGATGGATGGATGTTTGTTATTACGTAACGGCATAATTTTAAATTAATCCCTTTAAATTATCACTTAGTAATAATCCAAATCTATACTTTACTTTCTCACTTACATTTTTAAACAAAGCAACTGTCTATTGTTATAAAAAAGTGTATGTTAGAGGTTATAAATAGTTATTGTAATCAACGAGTTTGTTTTATAACGATAAAATAAATAAAAGACTAATATTATAATTGAGGCTCAGAAAAGTAAGCAAACTTGTAGTGTTTTGAGAAAATTAATACGGTACAGATTCCATAAATTGGCTCAACTGTAGAAAGCAGACATTATTTTTGTAACTAATTTTGGATATTATTATTTAGAATCCTTTGGCGCCGATAGCACGCTTACGTTACTAAGTCAAGTGTCAGATTGATTAGTGAGGGGACATAAATTTTGATATTACAATAAAGCTAGTGTTGCGCTGATACACCGGCATTTTCGAATTTTCTTCCTAAGACTAAATAGTTACAAAATATATTTTTTCTGGAAGAGGTAAAACTCAAACATTTCTTTTTATTAATTATTGTGCGCAATATTTTGAAAATCATGTACTACTACCATGACTCCAGCCGCGCTGAAATAAAAAATAATAAGGCCTATATATTCTTCCACGCTATGATCTACATCTATGCCAAATTTCAACGAGACCCATGCAGCCGTTCTTAAGATACCTTTTCACAAACATCCATACATACAAACAATTATATTTATAATATTAGTAAGATTTAATTTTTCACATAACAAATGACAAAATAACATCGTTAATAAGCATTCATTTTTCCTCATATCATTTGCAATGTCATGCAGTTTTTGTGCGTCGTTTGCGTCACTATTTAACAACAGCCGTCTCCATGCTAGGCTAGGGTTGTAAAAATTCAAAAAGTAGTGTTCGGGACATTGGTATACTAAAAAACAAAAAAACAGTTGCTTGTCAACACTAGACTCCTTGGTGGATGAATAAACAACGACGTCCACTCACAAACCTTAGGAAGAAAAAAGGGTCTTGACAGACGGACGGACGGACAACAAAGTGATCCTATAAGGGTTCCGTTGTTTCCTACGAGGTACGGAACCCTAAAAAGATGAATAAACAAAATTTTTTAACTGGTTTACCACGCATTTTTACCCGAAGACATGGATCGACCCAGCCTACAAAAAAATATATCTTTTAATTGATTTCATAAGTGAATCACTTAGCTGTTTTCGGATGGGTGGAACCATGAAGTGCCAACCCTACTGCAAGCACATAGCATAGTTAATTTAAAATGTATTATGTACTTGTTTACAATAAAACCTGCTTCGTTCTCTCGACTCTGCAATTATCAAGGTGTGTTTTGTTTGCAATAAATATTTGTGGTTCCTTTTCATAATTAAAAAAACGTTTGCGTCGTCCTGAAAATCTTTATTTGTGAGTGTGGCTCCAGATTTATCCGTCGTGTTCGACAATAAACAAAGAGATTTTGGCGTCTTTATTTTTTTATGATATAACGAAAATGTGACAGATGGTAATTTGTTTTTTTTTGTCCAGGTGTTTTAGCTATGGAACCTCACGGTTAGGCGCAGAAACAACAGCTGTGAACGGCAAAAAAAAATAACGGATGTCGTAAAAAGTGCGAAATCCAAACATTGTTTACCTACTCAATATTTATTTTCCGTGTTTTTCTCTAAGCAATGATGCAAAAGTAAAATACGCAATTATTTATTTTTTTAGTAACTAACTACTACTGAACCTTCTGACATAGACAATCTATTGAACTACTAGATTCGCTGATTAAGCGATGTTACCAGGTAGTTAATTTCGTGTTAACAATTTTAAACGGACATGTGCGTCCTACATTCAGAAAACATGTACAATATTTGATGAGCTAACATAATACATCGATCGCATTATTTTTATTGCAAATTAAATAAGTTATTATTACACTGCCAAATGCAATAAAACGATTATAGTTACTGGTCCAGTCTAATATCTAGATATCTCTCGTCTATCAAGTTTTCATCTCATTTCTCTTAAGGAAAAATAAAGCAGCAAAAAACCTTATGGCTCATTGTCTTTAGAGGTTCTATTGTCTTACATTGTTAAACCATTACTATGAGATCTATTTTTATTTGTTGAATTAGCAAGATAAATAAAATACGACAGATTTTGGTTGTATTTCTGGGTGTTTTTTTCTAACGAGATTACTATTTCCAAGTATTCAACGTTTCATTATTGCTTTTTACTCCGCATACAATTGTGGAGAGTTTGCGTAATGACAAGCTTACGAAAGGCAGAAAATGGTGTTGAAATGGTAGAACAGCTTTATAATTTTAGCAAAATCAGTGGTAATTCTTTTGTCTAAATCAGCGCCATCTATTAGCATTAAATAGAAGTCTGCGCGATATATGGTAAATTGAAGTGCATTAACGATATTAACCAAACAATTTTTATAAATAAATAACACTGACAATAAAATATCTATAAGTTTACTAATCTGAAAAAGACATAAACTAAACTTGACATTGTTTCTTTTATTTAAGGTTCATGGTGTAACGCCATCTATCATCTAAATGTGAACCAATTGACCTGACTAAAATTTTATTCCCTTATTATAATACAAGTTCTGAGGCGTAAATAAAACAGATTGGATATACGCTAGTGTTAAAACGTAATACTAGATGGCACTAGCTATAGCAATGCATATGTAATGGTGAAAATCAAATTTATTTTTAATTTTAATGTTTCTCTTTACGCGTTATTATTACTTAAATTGTATTAACAATAAATACCTTCATTTATATTTAATTTTCGGAACCACTATTATCATACTTATACTTGTTACTTTATGTTCCTGTTCTGTTTTGTCCGTTATGGATTAGGTCTTTTATAATACAACAATTAGCCACTTTACCGTGGGTTTTGTTATTTATTTTTTTGTCAAAGTTGATGACAGGAACAATATGTTTATATTTTTCCTGTCATCAATATTGATATTTTAGTTTCAGAAACCAACGGTTAATGATTCTTATTGGGATTAAAAAAAGGAAAAAAAACCGCTAATATTTTTTAATTTTTGTTTTCGAGAAATGTATTAATTGTTATTCAAATAAAGATAAAAAAAATTGAATGTTAAACGGTAACTTTCAATATTAAACAATATAGCAAACACAGCACTTATAATAAGTGGAGCGCGCTTGGTGCCAGAACGTGCTGAGCGGACAATAATTTTTAGTATAAAACAGGAAGCGGACAATCAGTCGCCACTTCTCGCCGCTGCCACCATGAAGGCCATCGCTCTGCTGCTGGCCCTCGCTCTCGCCGGCCACGCCGCCGCCAGCATCTTCCGCCACGAGCTCCCAACGGCGCAGCACCACGACGACCTCGACGACCTGCCGCAGCACCACCACTCCGGCCATGAGAAAGTGCACCACAAGGTCCATCATAAGCATCATCACCACCAGTCCTCCAGCGCGAGCTCCGAGAGCAACGAAAGAACCCACAGCCAAGCGACCGATGGCTACATCACTTTTAACGTCGACAACATTTGGGACAAGCCTCTCACCTCTTTCATCGTGAACCGCGATGACTCGCGTCCCCTGCATGGCGACATGCTTACTTGGAAGGGCGTCCAGATCGCCACTGGCCCGCGTTCCCCCGTCACCGCACTCAAGGAGATCGAGAGGATCTTCGACGATGCCTACACCACTATGAAGCACTTCACTGAGGAAGAAAAGAAAAGCTTTCATAAAGCTTACCTCGCCGCTAATAAAATTGAAAATGAAGATGTTCATTTGAATTCCTCCCAACTCCTGAAGAAACATCATTACAAGGTCGAAGAGCACACGGTGCTCACCGACGACGGCTACCATCTCACAGTGTTCCGCGTCGCACCCAAACAAATGCCGATTGGACAAGATAGTACAAGCAGCCCAGTAGTGTTTCTCGCCCACGGGCTTCTCGGTAGCTCCGACGACTGGCTTCTGATGGGTCCCGAGAGGTCGCTCGCCTACATTCTCGCAGACCTAGGTTATGAGGTGTGGCTCGGCAATACGCGCGGCAGCAAATACAGCAGGAATCACGCCAGCAAGCACGAGGCCCAGCCGGACTTCTGGCAGTTCAGCAATGACGAGATCGCACTCCACGATACGCCCGCCATGATCGACCATGCCCTGAGGACGTCGCAACAGAAGACGCTTCAGTACATCGGTGTGTCGCAGG